GCCAACTGAGAGACTTACGGGGTTTCCTTTGTAGATAATCTGTTGCTTATCTCTTGCTGCTTTTAGGATTCTCTCTTTGTCTAATTTTTGGTAGTTTGATTACTATGTATCTTGGTGTGGGTCTCTTTGGGTTCTTCTTACTTCAGGGTCTCTGTGCTTCTTGAACTTTAATGCCTTTTTCCTTCACCAAATTAGGGAAGTTTTCTGTCACTATTTCTTTGAATATATTCTCTAACCCTTGCTTATTTTCTTCTTCTTCAGGGACTCCTATGATGCAAATATTATTCCGTTTTCAGTTGTCCCACAGTTCTCTTAAGCTGTCTTCCTGTTTTTTTTTTGTTTTTTTTTTAAGTGTTTTTTCCTTTTGGCTTTCTGATTGGTTGATTTTTTCCAGCCTGTCTTCTAATTCACTAATTTGGTCCTCAGCTTCCCCTACTCTGATTTTTAGACCTTCCAATGTGTTTTTAATTTCTGATATGTCATTCTTCATTTCTTCCTGTTGGTTTTTAATTTCCAACTGGTTGATTTTCAACATTTCTATGTCTATACTCATGGTGCTCATATCCTTACACATGCTGTTGAGCTTCCTCAACCTCATGGCTCTAAAGTCTAGTTTTCTTAACTTGCTTAACTGCACCTCATTTATCTCATCTTCTGTAGAGGTCTCTTGTTCTTTCATTTGGCTTTTGTTTCAGGTTTTCACCATTTTGGCTATCACAGTGGGCTTTGGAGTCAGCCAGATTTTCCCTGTGGGTGTTGGTGTTCTGCTGTTTGTAGTTCCCTCTCCTCGGTTTGGATGAGCCAGGGAGGACCCACTTTAAACACCACTGTCAAGTCTTAGCTTTTCTGGTCAGTGTTGCTAGCCCAGGGAATGGTAGTTATCCTCTAGCTTTTTTTTTTTTTTTTCCTGGAGGCTATTATTAGAGGTCACCTGAAGACCCTTGGTTTCTGAATTGCCTGAAAATCTCCCTCAGGTGCTCAGTGTAAGAGGATTTCCCAAGGGTGGGGCAGATGCTGGTTGTTAATGGGCCTCAATTAGCATTTCAATGGCCACCAGGTGGGTTTGAATCTCTGAGGGAGGGGACTCCACCTCTCCCCATGACCCTGGGAAGGAGTAAAATGACCACAGTCCTGCGTGGCTGCACTCAGCGAAAGCTCTTAGTGCCCTCCAAAACCCAAGTGTCCCCCCACAGTTCCAGTCTAGTCTGCCTTCCCTCTGCGGGAGCCCAAGATGAGTGGCTGCTGCCAATTTAGCCTCTGTCTAGACTCTTTGTCATGGAGTCGCCTGGGACTTTTAACCCGAGAGCGCAGCTTCCAGCCAAGGGCGGCCGCGGCTGTGGCACCAGCAGAGGGTTTTGCACTCAGCAGAAACCCCAGTACTGAGCAGCGGTAGCGGGACACTGTCGTGGTGGCAGTACCTTCCAGCAGAGTCCCCTGGTCCCCGCGAGTCTGTGTGGCACCAGCCGAGGGCTTAGCACGCAGAGTTCACAGGAGTCAGCCTGGGTAGCAGCGTCCCTACGAGTCCCCTGGTCGGATTCAGTCCGTGCCAGTCCGTGCGGCACCAGCCGAGGGCTCAGCAGGCAGCTGAGTTCGCAGGACTCATGCATGGTCGCAGCGGAGGCAGTAGCAGCAACTTCTTGCCGCCGAGTCCCCTGGTCCCAGCGAGTCTGTGTGGCACCAGCCAAGAGCCTAGCAGGCAGCAGAGTTCCCAGGACTCAGTCGGGGTCGCAGCAGCTGAGGCGGCAGCAGCCTCCCGCCCAGCCCCCTGGTCCCCGCCCAGGCCACTGCGGACCATGGGCTCCCGGCCCCCTCTTGTGTCCTCGCAAGCCTACCAGGATTGAGTTGGTGTCCCTGGTTATGTGGTCCTCCAAGGTGTCTTTCGGTTGCCCCTTCCTGAAGATTTGCCTTAATTTTCATTGTGAATCCAGTTTGGTCCTGGGAGATGGTCTGTGTAGCTCCATTCACTCCGCCACCATTTTTCTTCTCCCCTATGTGGTTTGTTCTGTAAATCCTTGGTTATAATATTTTAGTTCAATTAGCCTTCAGTTGGTTATTCAGGTTGATTGCTTTATAATTTAGCAGTAAATCCAGTTTGTTGTCAGGAACTCATGAGTGCCACTTCTACTTATCTTCAGCCAACTTGCAATCTCTTATATTGAAGTCTCTAATCCATTTTGAGTTTATTCTTGTATGTGGTGTAAGATGTTCTCTTTTCATTTTCCTTTCTGCATGTAATTGTCCAATGTTCCCTATACCATTTATTGAATAGATTGTCTTTACCCCATTGTATGTCCTCACCTCCTTTGTCAAATATTAATTGACTCTTTAGGCATAGATTTATTTCTGGGATCTCTTTTCTGTTCCATTGACCTCAGTGTCTGCTTTTATGCCAGCACAATGCTGATTTGATTACTATGGCCTTGTACTATATTTTGATATTAGAACCAGGCTCTTATCATCTTATATGTTTGCTAAATCTTTGCAGATTATTTTTAGTTTCTTTTTAGGTGTGAAGTCTAAAACTGGCCACTCTGAAGAATTTTACTAATGATAGCTATGATTTTTAAAACTGTCAAAATATTAATAATTCTTTACTTTAATTTACATTTTATATATTGAAAATTTCCTATGAAATTAAATTAAAAATCATTTAATATTGTACTATATCGCATATTTGAATTTTAGAATTTTTGTTTTTTTGTATAGAGAAGTGCATTTTATGTGTTATATTTTTATTTCAAATAAGAAAATGTTTTTTGCTCTGTATTTTTATTGTTAATTAAAAGTTCCATATATACATAATACTTTCAAGCATTGTTTTTTTTTTCCCATAAGTTGGGAGGGAATGGGTTGGAGATTGTGTCCACAGCTTAGAAAATGGATGGAGTTAATAAGGAAAACTCCTAAAAAAGAGATTATGGAATATAAAACAAACAAACAGAAAACCAGGATAGTTTGGGCAGTGACTCAATGGAAATCTTCCACTTTTCCTGGGTGAGAATGTATTAAAATAAATTAAAAGGTGTCTGTGATGATATATATAACATATCCTACATCTATTTGCTTGTTGAGAAAAGGATGCAATGCTCAGATCTTCAGAATTAAAAAAATGATTTTGCAAGTAGGAGATTTATACCACTTCAGTGATGCCGAAGACTGTTATGTCAAATCCTGTCAGCATGTGAACTTGAACACAAGTCTTGCATGCCATTCTAGTATTTTTCATTCTTTCTTCCACCCGCTGTCTCTCAGCAGAAGTATCATGGTGTTATTCAGTGGTTCTTTATGGTTTCAGTAGGCAATAGTAATGGGGGGGGGGTGCTTGAATGTGGGAGAATGTTATATATAAAATTTGTATTAGTATTTAAGGCAATATTTTTGAGACTGTCACACATTTTTTCTGCTGTTAAAATAAGATCATTTGCTTGTTTAGAATTAAGTGATTAATGATATTCCATATTAAACACTTTAAAACCCTTTAAAGTATATTGCTTTCTATGTATAGCTATGTGGTAATATTAGTGGCAGGAGTAAATGGTTTGTGTATAGCTGTAGGCATGCTTGTACAAAGAAGCATCAATTTATATCATGCACTTGAACTATTTTTATGCTTCAATGGCCAAATGACCATAATCTTCTAGGATGTGTATTCAAAAATGGTCTCCAGAAGAATATTTGATTACTGTATTTCATAGCTAGTCATCTCAAATTCAAATACCTAATAAAACTACTGTCATATTTGAGGATGAGATGCCCTCCTTAATTTAGGACAGGCAGCCACTTCTTCTCTTTACTTTAGTATTGGAATCTATTTTATAATGCCACTACAAAAGTCTGTCATAAATAACATTTTTTATTTTTTAGATAGAGTGGAAGGGAGGGATAGAGAGGGAGAGGAAGAGGGAGAGGGAGAGGAGAGGGAGGAAGAGGAAGAGAGAGAGAGAGAGAAGAGAGACACATTGATTAGTTGCCTCCCACATGACCCTGACTGGGGCTGGGGATCGAACCTGCAACCCTTCAGTCCAAGGGCCAACACTCTAACCACTGAGCCACACTGGCCAGGGCTTAAGTTATGTCTTTTTAACTGTCAACTATCTTACTCTTTATTCTCAGAATTGTCCTTCCTACTCCCGCTTTCAATAATCTACATTCTGGTGTTTGGAATTCATCCTTAACTAACAAATGTAGAGAGGGTGGCAAATTTAAAATTAGTTATATTTAAAAATTTTGTGTCTGTGAGACAAATTTCAAATTATTTTAGACATTTTACAATAAATCTAAGGCAAAATATATTAAGTGGAGTAATAGCTTTTTAAAATGAAGAACCATAAAACTCTGTTGCATTTGATAGGGCTAGGAAATCTCTGCTAAATTCTATAATACATAGCTAATTTCACCATTTAAATTTTTATCTAAACTGGAATGCTGGGTCAACATTTATAACCTGAGACTGTGCAGGCAAATCGTGACATGGTCACCCTAGTTCCAAAACCCTAAAAGCTGATCTTGTGCCAACTAGTGGAGAATAAATAACACTTACATTGAAGAAAATTAATTCAGAGCTTGAAAATTGACTCTGGTGGAAGACAACAATCTTTTAATGTCAAAACTGTTATAGAGAGATTTTTATTTTATGTTCATTCTGAAATAAAATTGTGGAAAAATAACTTTGGAATAATTTTGACTGAAGTGCAACTTCCAAATAATCTTGTGCTATACTTTGGCTGACAAAATCTTTCTTGTTCTGTGGCCTGTTATAACTTTAAATAACTATTATGTTAAATGTTCTAAATGTTACTTAATTCTGTGTATGTTTTAAATCACAGAAGATATATTTTCTTCAATTTGTTATCTAGCATCAATGTCATATTTATAGTACCATTAATAAATAGTTATAACTGATTATTTAATATTCTTAAAAATTATGAAAATGATTCTTCAGTTACAAATAAAAAATGTTCTTCATATAATCTAATACCAGATGTTTTGTAATTCTAAAGATCAAAGAAGAAAGGAGCTAGCACTGCTATTTCAGATATTTCACAGATCCTCAAGTCTCAAGATGGATCAGCTTTTTTAAAGAGTTCAAATGAAGTTTCAGCTGATGAAGACCTATCCCCTTTATCTCCATCAAAGCCCCATGATAAATCATTTACAAGAGAGTTATTGAGCAAAGACATTAAAGGTTTACTGTCTGTTGGAACATTGCTTCCAGGAAATGAAACAGTGACAACATCATTCATTTCACCCCCCGTTGTTACTGAAAGAAAGCCAGTGGGTAGTGCTATCTCAAAGGTAAGGTATAGTACAGTAACTTGAAGGCCACTTACTTTGAAGTGCTAGACTTCTTTGATATTTTGAGTAAATGTTAATTAAAAACACCAACATTCTCTTACTGAAAAGGAATTAAAAGTTTGCCTTTTAAAACAATCTATTTCATATTAACAATGTTTAAAGTAATATTTGGGAAACAGTAATATTTTAACAGAAATTTCTAATCTGTATTGACAAAGAAATGGTTTAGATTAGAGTTTTAATGATAAATTGGAGTTTTAAAGATACACAATTCCTAATTGAAACAAAAAAAATTATTTTAGGTTCATCTACAAAAACAAAATTGTATACATAAGGTATTTTGTATACATTGTAAAAGCATAGTCATTTTTTCTAATCCTCATCTGAGGATATGTTTTTTATTGGTATTAGAGAGCAAGCATGCATGCACATGCAAGATAGAGAAAGAGAGAGAGAGGGAGACAGAGAGAGACAAGGGATATGAAAGAGACACATTGATCAGTTGCCTCTCATATGCACCCCGACCAGGAATTGAACCTGAAACCTAGGTATGTGCCCTGATTGGGAATCAAACTTGCTAGCTTTCAGTGTATGGGAGGACTCTTCAGCCAACTCAGCCACTTGGCTCAGACAAAAGCATATTATTTTTGAAATAATTTTATATACATTATATAAGACCTAGAAAATTATCAGAATTACTTTTGTTAAAATGGTATTCATTAGGAAATCCTTAGGGCATAGTGCTGGGAAAAGAGAAATGATAAAAAGATGGAACATATTTGACACATTTATAATGTATTTTTATCATAGAAGTTATTGAAGTGGACTTATAAAAATAACTTTGTAAGCCATTTGAGTTTGTCTAGAGATTTATGCAGAATAAAATATAAATCTAAACTAAATTGTAATAAGTAATTATTAATGCTAATCATTTGAAATTATTTATGAAGGAAAATCACAATATTGCTTGGGTTCTTTCTACACTATTACATATTTCCAAATGCTTCTCAGATCCATGAGTTTTTCTCATTTTTAAATTTGATGCATTCAGGAAATAAAAGTAAAGCGTCTCTGAAATGACATTGTAGATATGAGTAAAACATTTCTGTCTCTAAAAAAGGTAATTAGAGTATGAGGATATATCATTTGTAATTACTTGTTATACCTTTTGTCATTAAGGCTTATATTTTAGAAGAGAAGTTACAAAGTAAAACTGAAACACAAACTTACCAAGAAGAAAGAAAATTTCAAGGTAAAAGATTTTTTGTTTTGTAAGATAAAAATGTGAGTGATTATGTGTTTCTGTGATATAATTACAAATAAGTGAAGAGAAAACATTATTAAATATAGAAATAACTCCTCAGATAGTCAAAAGATTATCTAGCAATATGTTTATCAAAATGTAAAAATTAATTCGGTGAGTTAATGTTATATTACTCAGAGACTCTTTCAATTAAGATCTGTGCAATAGGAATTGATAGCTTTGCTTCAACCATATAACAGTATTTAGCATTATGAACTATTAACATAATATACCAAAAACTCATTAAGATATAGCAAGGAAAATGATAATTTGTGGTATAAATAATTACTATTTTAGCTGTTTGATATAAAATGTATTTTTAAATAATGGTGAATTTGTTTATTTTCAACATATATAGCTTTTATAAGCAACTCCCATGCACTGTATTTAACATTTAAAAAAATAATAGTTTATTGATTTTCATTTTATTTATTTGTTATATATTTTTAATTGATATTTTAGAGAAAGAAGAAGGGAGAGAGAGATAGAAACATCGATCGGTTGCCTCCTGCTCATGCCCTATGGGATTGAACCTGCAACCTGGGCATGTACCCTGACCAAGAATTGAATCAGGACCTCCAAGTCCATGGGACAACATCAATCCACTGAGCTCCATAGGCCGGGCGCATTGTACTTAACTTTGAAAATAAAATCCAATGGTTCTGATTTAACAGGAGTATCACTCTTCTATGGTGCTTTACATTTGAAATGATAGTGTCTGTAGTATTTCACCTATGATGATTGGTTATCTGAGACAAATATTCTTTTTTAAAAGAATATTTTCTTTAATTATTCAAAGGATAGCTACCTTTTGTGAGATAATTCATTAGAATCAGCAAATATCGTTTCTGAAAATATGACGGTAGAGTCAAAGATTATTTTCTAACAGTTCTCTAAGGTCAGATATTTTCCCTATCTCCATCAGATACCTTTTATTTTCTTTCTTTTTTTTTTTCTTTTTCATTTATAGCTGATAGTCAATATTATATTAGTTTCAGGTATACAACATAGTGATTAGACATTTATATAACTTACAAGGTGATGTCCCCAATAAGTCTAGTACCCATCTGGCACCATAGAGAGTTATTACAATATAACTGACTAAATCCTCTATGCTGTACCTTACATCCCCTGACTACTTTTAACAGCCAATTTGAAATTCTTAATCCCTTCACCTTTTTCACCTAATCCCTAACCTCTAACCCATCTGGCAATCATTAGTTTGTTCTCTGTATATATAAATTTGTTTATTTTGTTTGTTTATTTGGTATTTTATATTCTTTACTTATTTTTTAATGTTTTTATTGATTTCTTTTTAGAGAGAGGAAGGGAGGGAGAGATAGAAACATTAATGTGAGAGAGACATCAATTGCCTGCCTCCTGCATACCCCCTACTGGGGATTGATCCCAAAACCTGGGCATGTGCCCTGACTGGGAATTGAACTGGGACCTCTCAGTACATGGAACGACACTTAATCCATGGAGCCACACCGGCTGGGCTTATTTTGTATTTTAGATTTCTCATATAAGTGAAATCATTTGTCTGACTTATTTCACTTAGCATAATACCCTCTAAGTACATCCATGTTGTCACTAATGGTAAAATTTAATTATTTTCTTATTATGGCTGAATAATAATATATTTCTTAAAAATACGTTTGTATAGATATTTTAAATAGAAAGGAAGGGAGAGATAGAAACATCGATGTGAGAGAGAAACATCGATCAGCTGCCTCCTACACATCCCCTCCTGGGACTGAGCCCTCAACCCAGGCATGTGCCCTGACTGGGAATTGAACCAGGATCTCTCAGTCCATGGGATGATGCTCATTCCTCTGAGCTACAGCAGCAGGGCTGAATAATATGATTCTTTATTATGGTCAGAATGTTTTCTTTTGTTCAACATATTTTATGAATTTTCAGTTAGCAGTTGAGATGAAATTTATCAATCCACTAAAATTTTTTATTGTGCTAAAATATACATAATGTCAACGTTGCCATTGTAATGATCTTCATGTATATAATTCATTGGCATTAATTATGTTCACATTGTTGTTCAACCATTACTACATATATTTCCACAACTTTTCATTAGCCCAAAAAGAAACTCATTAGGCATTTATGTTCCCTTCTTGCCTTCATCCAGATCCTGGTAACCTCTAATATGCTTTCAGTTTCTATGAACATGTCTATTATATTTCATATAAGTGGAATCGTACAATATTCGTCTTTTTAAATCTGAGTTATTCACTTCACATAGTGTTTTCAAGGTTCAACCATGTAGTATGTGTCAGAATTTCATTACTTTTTTTGTGTGCAATTTTTATTCATATGCTTCTCCTTTTTCCCCCATAGACACTCTCCTCCCAATATTGTCTATCCCCCAACATTGTTGTCTATGTCCATTGGTCACACACATGCACATAAGTTCTGTGATTTATTTCTTCACTCCCCCCTTCCCCCTCTTCTTAGGTTTGTCAGTCTGTACCCTACTTCCATGTTTCTGGGTCTGTTTTGTTCATCAGCTTGTATTGTTCAGCATATTCCACAAATAAATGAGATCATGTAATATTTGTCCTTCTTTGACTGGCTTATTTCACCCAGCATAATATTCTCCAGGGTCCTCCATGTCATCTCAAAGGGTAAGAGATCTTTCTTTCTTATAGCTGCATGATGTTCCATTGTGTATGTATCACAGCTTTTTTATCCACTCATCTATTAATGGACACTTGTACTGTTTCCAGATCTTAGCAATTGTAAATAGTGCTGCTATAAACATAGGGGTACATATATCTTTCTGGTTGGTGTTTCAGGTTTTGTAGGATATATTACTAGAAGTGGGATCACTGGATCAAATGGCAGCTCAATTTTTAATTTTTTGAGGAAACACTGTAGTGTTTTCCATAGTGACTGCACAAGTCTGCATTCCCACCAGCAGTGTACTAGAGTCCCCTTTTCTTCACACCCTTCCCATCACTTGTTTGATGATTTGTTGATGGCAGCCATTCTGGCAGTTGTGGGGTGATACCTCATAGTCGTTTTAATTTGCATCTCTTTGATGATTAGTAACATTGAGCATTTCTTCATAGGTCTCTTGGCCATTTGTATGTCCTGTTTGGAGAGGTGTCTATTTAGGTCCTCTGCCCATTTTTAATTGGATTCTTTGTCTTCCTTTTCTTGAGTTGTATGAGTACTCTCTATATTTTGGAGATTAGCCCCTTATCTGATGTATTGGTGGCAATTATGCTCTCCTATATAGTGGGTTCCCTTTCCATTTTGATGGTTGTTTCTTTTGCTGTGCAGAAGCTTTCTAGTTTGATGTAGTCCCATGTACTATTTTTTTCCCCTTTGTGTCTCTTGCCTTAGGTGTGGTATCAATGAAAGTTCTGCTGTGTGTGATGTCTGAAAGTTTGTTGCGTACATTTCTTTCAAGGATTTTTATGGATTCACAAGTCACATTTAAGTCTTTTATCCATTTTGAGTTTATTCTTCTGTATAGTGTAAGTTGGTGGCCTACCTTCATTTTAATTTTTTTGCATATACTTGTCAATTTTCTCAACTTGATTTATTAAAGAGTCTATCTTAAGCCAATGCATGCCTGTGCCACATTTGTCAGATATTAATTGAGCAAAATGTCTTGGGTCAATTTTTGGGTTCTCTGTTCTGTTCCATTGTTCAATATGCCTGTTCTTTTGCCAGTACCAGGCTGTTTTGATTACAATGGCTTTGCAGTATAACCTGATATCTGATATTGTGATCCCTTCTACTTTATTCTTTGTCAAGATTGCTATTGCTACTTCCAGAACTATGTTAAATAAGAGTGGCAAAAGTAGGCATTCCTGTCTTTTTTCTGTTCTTAAGGAAAATGCTTTTAGTGTTTGCCCATTGAGTATGTAGTTGTTTATAGGTTTTTCATATATGGCCTTTATTATGTCAAAATATGATCCCTCTATTTCCACATTGCTGAGCTTTTGTATCAAAAATTGGTGCTGGATTTTGTTGAATGCTTTTTCAGCATCTATAAATATGATCATATGCTGTTTATCTTTCATTTTGTTTATATGGTATATCACAATTATTGATTTGTGAATATTGTACCAGCCTTGTATCCCTGGGATGAATACAACTTGATCATGGTGAATAATATTTTTGATGTATTGCTGGATCTCATTTGCTAATATTTTGTGAATTTTGGCATCTATGTTCATCAGGGATTTTGACCTTTAGTTTTTTTTTTTCTTTGTAGTATCTTTTTTCTGGTTTTGGAATTAGAATTATGTTGGCCTCATAAAATAAGCTTGGAAGTTTTCCTTCTTCTTTGATTTTTTGAAATAGTTTGAGGAGAATGGGTGTTAGATCTTCTTTGAATGTTCCCTAAAACTCCCCTGTGAAGCCATCCGGGCCTGGGCTTTTATTTGCTGGGGGTTTCTTGATTACATCATCAATTTTTTTAGTTGTTTCTGATCCTTTCAAATTTTTCTCTTCCTGGTTCAGTTTTGGGAGACTATATAATTCTAGAAATTTGTCTACTTCACCTAGATTGCCCAATTTGTTTACATATAATTTTTCATAGTATTTTTTAATGATCCTTTGTATTTCTGTGGTGTCAGTTGTTACTTATACCCTTTTGTTTCTGATTTTTTTTAAAATTTTGGTCCTCTCTTTTTGTTTTTTTTGGTGAGTCTGGCTTAGAGTCCATCAATCTTATTAATCTTTTCAAAGAACCAGCTTTTTGTTTTATCGATCTTTTGAATTGTTTTTTTTTTTTTTTTTTTTAGTTTCTATGTTGTTTATTTCTACTCTGACCTTTACTGCTTCTTTCCTTTTTCTTGCTCTGGGGTTTTCTTTTTGCTTACTTTCTATTTCTTTTAGGTTGTAGGGTTAAAAAAATTACTTAGAAATTGTTCTTGTATGTTGAGGTAGGCCTGTAGTGTTATGAACTTCCCTTT